GGCGGCAGATTACGTAATTGGCCGATACTTCTTCGAAGGCAACTTAACAGGACACAGGTATTGACAATCTTTGGAAAATGATTTTCCGGGGTTATTAGAAAATGTTCCTCTCAACCTCCGACAAGAGCTGTGCTTTCAGCAGGACCGGGCACCACCTAATTATCACAGAGTCGTTAGGGACTATCTTGAGGAGACGTTTGCAAATAAGTGGATTGGCAGAGGCAGTGTGAATGCATAGCCCCCTCGTAGTCCCGATTTAACACCTTTAGATTTCTTCCTCTGGGCAGTCGTAAAAGAGCAAGTTTATCAAAGTCCTATTCGTAATTGTGAAGATTTAAAAACCAGAATTGGAAATGACAACTGATGTCATCGATCATAAATTTGAATTTCGGTGCAACAGTACCTACTTCAAAACAAAAAAGAAAAATCATTGGCAACTTGCTGAATTTTTTAAATGAATAGCCGTTATGTACACCTAATTTACACCACATTGACTTATCCGAAAAAAGAAAAATGCAGGCAAAACAAGAAACGCATTTTTCTCTCTGCACCCCCATATACTTTATACATCCATTTGCGAAAGTAGTCCTTGACGTCGTTAGATTTTTCTTTTGTGATTCGTATGTACAATATTCACAAAATTAAGTTTATTTTCTCCACTATACCTATTTATCTCTTTATTAACAAGATTTTCCATTTCAAAATTATGGCCTAAACATATAAATTTTTAGGATGAATGTAAACGTTACAAATTGATTTAAGATTGACATGAGATTAAATCTATTTTCATCAAAGTATTAACTAAAAGTTTACAAGGTCCTTGATAATTAAAACACTAATATATACTGAATAAAAGTTAACTGTCAGAATCAACATTGTCTGGTTATTTTACTTATTCTTAAAAACCAAAACGAAAACTTAAAATAAGTTCTGCAATACGATGTAGGTATCTATCTAATAAATAGCAGAAACACGTACTTTCAAAAAGTAAATAATTTTGCGTATAGAATAACGAAAACAAGATGACACTTCATCAACTTACATGTGTTGACTGCATTTGCAACCTCGAAGTTGATTTTTTCAGAATAATTTAGCTTCACAGGGCCATTTACAGGGTTATTATAATAAAACAAACCTTTGTATAGTGGACCAAAAGGTATAAGGTTATATGGCCATCATAAAATCATCCCATTGTGTCGAAGTTAAGTTGTATGGTTTTAGGGTCGTAAATAACGTGTCCACTGCAGCTCGACCGGCTGTTGTGGTTTCGGTCAGGGGCGGCTTTCACTAAATATGAAAATCTACCACTCCACCAAGGTTAGTTAATAGAGAACAGGTTACCACATAAACGAGTATGTGGGCAAAATCGCTTACGGGGGAGGAGAGGTGTCAGCCCCATGTGACGTCAAAATGAGGTTGGTATTACTTGGGAATTTTTAGTAACTTGTAATTTTGAGTTGGTGTGACCGATCAGCTGATGCCTTTAATATGTACGATCTGTACCGCTAATTCTGAGGTTTGGTTCGTTTTCAGAAAAAAATTGTTACTCGGATGACCAATTTGTTAAAAAATATGGTGGAGCTCCCAGAAGAAATCACAAGGGCTTTTTTAAAACAGAGAACTTTAATTAGAATTAAATATTTAAATAATAAATCTGAAAATAAACAAAAGTATAAAAAATTAAAAAAGAAAAAGCTAAAACTGTTTGATGTATGTAAATAAAAATTATTATAAAATTTTATGTATTTTTACTTACCAGTAGTGTTAATGTTTAGTTGTAATATTTTCACAAGTTTAATATTACAGTGAATTAAAGTGGTGTTTGCCTAACAAAAAAAATAAATTTATTTGTGTTAAGCTAAAATGAAATATTTTGATATATTACTAGAAAGGAAAAAGTAAACCAGTACCTACCTTTTGGACAAGTATAGCTTCAGTGACGATTCGTTCATAAACGTTCTTATGAGACCGCATTATTTAAAAAAATACACACCCATAAAGAATGCGAGCGTAGCGAGCACGTTTGTGTGTTATTACAAATTATTCATTAGTGTTCCTGAGAAGCTAAATTATTAATAAGAGGTGGATTCTAAATAAATGTGTGATTACCTGGTACAGTTCGGAAGACTCTAGCAATCTAAACCTGCTCGCTGCGCTCGTATTCTAAGTTGTATTTTTATAAAGTGTAAACATTTATTTTTACTTACATTGGAACCGAAACAACTTCGCTGATACACTTTCCTAGACGCTTCTGTGAAAGTGAAGCTGGAAAAAGAGAGTTTAAAATGCGAGCGCAGCGAGCACGTTCAGGTGAAATGTAAAAAATTATTTATTGGTGTCCCTGAGAAGCAAAATCATTAAGAACAATTTTGTTATTGTTATTTTCAAAGTAATTGACCTCTACAGGGAGATCTCGACAATTATTATAAGAAAAACTAAGTAGCCTTGCTAATCGTTTCTTTATTCGATACAAAGTTAATTAAAAAAGAACATTCAGAATGCGATTGTAGCGAGCACATTTAGGCGTTATTCAAAAGTATTCGTCGGTGCCCTTGGGAAGCTAAATTGTTATTAATGAGCGAAGTTTTTATTGTCTAAAAAAATGAATCTAGAAAATGTTTGTGAATCAGGGGCGGCTCATGGATCGAGAAGTTGATGAGCCAAAGCACAAGATGCTCAAATATAAAATTTTTGATTTTTGAATTTTTCAGTTTTACGATTTTGTCGTTTCTAGTTTTTCAATTTTTTTGATTATTTTTTTTTACTTTATGATTTTTAATTGACGATATGTATTATTCGACAACGACAACAAAGCACATTTTCCAGTTTCTCGATTTTTAATATTTCGATTTTCAAATTTTCTATTTGGGAATTTTTGGTTCTTCAATTTTTCGAGTTTACAGTTTTTTTTTAAACCTATTTAAATTTTTCTTTTCTAATCAATTTTTAGTTTCTTCCGCCGCATTTATTTATGTTGTGTTGACTGAGCATTTTTTTAATAGCACCCATTTTTGAGTTTTTAAAAATACATACTTTAGTTTTCCGATTTTGCAATTTCTTAATTTACCTATGTTTCCTAGATTTTACAATTTTTCGAATTTGTTTAAAGTAGTTCGAAGTTTTTATTAATCAATTCTTGAATTTTTCAATTTTTGGATTCTATAGTTACATAGATTATTTATTTGTAAATTTGTCCATTTAGGATTATTCAATTTTACAATCTTACGCTTTCAAATTTTAGAAATTTTCGGTCTTGCAAATTTTCGTTCCTTGATTTCTTCGATCTGCAATTTTCGTTTCTTGGATATTTCAATTTTCCTTAGGTATTTGAATTAAACGATAACTCAAATTTTCATGTCTTCAATTTTTTGATTTGCAGTTTTTCTAGTTTTTCTTTAATTAATCAAGTTTTCGTTTTTGCATTTTTAAATTTTGTACAAAAAGAACAAGTTTATTCAAACTGAAATTTTGAAAAATTGTACAGCGGGAATTTTTTCATGTTGCTCTTGTATTTTCGATGTGTTTTTTCGAAAAAAGGAAACATTCACAATAAAAAATCAAAAAATTGAAAATGTAACAACTGACAAGACGAAAAAATAGAATATCGAAAAAATTGAGAAATCTTAAAATAATAAACTGGAAACTGAAAATTCGAAAAAAAATGAAAAAGCAAAATTTTAAATTTGAAATTTCAAAAAAATTGCAACACGAGACACTGCAGAACCGAAAAATTCAAAAATAGAAAAATTGTGGAATCTACAAACTGCAAAAGTCAAAGCTGAAGTAACAAAAAACTGAAAAACTGAAAAATTAAATTGGAAACTCAAAACATTGCAAATTAAAATATTGGAGAACGAAAAAATTTGAAATCAATGAACGGAAAATTCGAAACACTGAAAAAACAAAAAAAGTAAAAATTCAAAAGTTGGAAACTCAAAAAGTTGCTAATCGAATAGATTTATTGAAAAATTCGAAGAGTTGCATTACCGACTGCCTACATATTAAACGACATCAGTTTTGCGTACACTACAGAGGCAAGATTCGAGTTCCTCTCTGTGTGATGTATTAATGGACACTGTTTAACAATGGAGGCAGCGAATAACCTTCTAAGATGAGAACACATTTATTTTTAAAATATTAAAAAAAAATAATATTGTTCAGAAATATATCGGTCAGAAATAATAAAAATAATAATACAGTCTAAATTCATTGCTGAGGCATTGCTTCACCTCTATGAATCTAAAAATAATTAAATTATATAAATTATAACGTTAAAAAAAACACGTTTGGAATGCGAGCGCAGTGAGCACGGAACTACAAGTTTTAAAGAAAATTAGTTCAAAGTTATAAAATTTTCACGAAAATGGAATGAGTCATTCTTGATTAAAATCAGTGTCAGACTGAGGACCTGGGGGTCCACAGGGAAATTTGGTGGTGCCGTGTGGTACTGTACCTATACCTACCTACTAATGTTTAGATATTATTATTATTATTAATATTATTATTATTACTATTAAGTATTTTGAGTATTGCCAGCGACATTGCCGTCTTGAAGAAATTGGTGGAAGGTTATTCGACAGAACTTCCCTCGCCCCTGAAATAAATACAATAAATCATACTTTTTCCGGTGTCCTGGCGGCACAATCCGACACTGAATAAAATAGATCGGCTGATTCATTAATTTTGAGTCACCTTTTCTGTGTACATAATTACAAAAACAATGAAAGCATTAAAAAACCACAACTATGGAGTCATAATATTTCCCTTATCTAAGTATATTTTAAATGCGCATGGATTTGCGTCAAAAAATATAACCCAATGAGTCACCACTTAAATTCCTCATATTTCACTAAAGTGCAAAATGTTATCACACAATTTTGATTTTTTTACAAAAATCGTGATATACTGGGTAGGAATCTTAATTTCAAAAATTTAAAACATACATATTTATAATGTACAATTTTGAGGTGACGTCAACACATTATTGGCGGGGAGGATTACACAAAATTACACAGTCTGATGGCCACCTTCTTGAATTTACTCAATACAACGTATACACCGGTCACTGCTTACGTAGATCTTCTAGCTACGAGTTAAATCGAAAATTCGATTGAAAGTAAAATCAGTACAACAGATTAAATGTTACACGTGAGAAATGCAATTAATAAGTGTATTCTTTACTGTTAATGTTAATGTTAATATAACATAATTCTCACTAAACTTTAGACCTCAATAAGCGCACTTTCTTTGGAAAAAACACTTTTTCTCCCACCATGTCCATTATGGAATGAATAACTCTGCGCATTGTTATTGTTGCATCCACCTATAACCTAATTTTAGTTACATTGGTAAAGTCAAACACTCATACTTGCCATTAATATCGTCCATAACTTCTCTAACGCTAACTAGATTGCACTGACGTGACGAACCATTACACCCATTAACGTGTAATCTTTTTTTCTCTCTATCTACAAAATAGTCAAATTTATTAAACCACTTGAAACTTTTCTACTTACCTAGGTCTTTACAAGCGATGATGTATATAAAAGAAATAATAACCATATAGACGAATGCACTTAGAAGATACAACTTAAAAAGCATAGAATAAGTGTAATTTGCAAATAAAGTACCCCGATCAAACTTACCTTTAGACGGATATTCATAATGGCACAATGCATATGTCTGACTTAATAATATTCCATGCGACGACTTTTGTTGTTTGAAATTATTTTTTATCACTATTTTTGTTTTAATAGCTGCATTAAAACAGAAAATACGTTCGCATGTGTTACATATATATGAGGTCAGCTGATAAAAAATGTAAGGATTAGCATACATAAAATATTCCTGTTATGTGTTGACCCACAAAAACTAGTTAGAAAAGTAAATAGTAATAATTAATTACAAAATTAATTAATTGAACTGATAAGCAACGTGCAAAAACACGATAAGTGCCAGTCATGTATCACTTGGTTGCCGTCGTGTCTTCGATTAACGTCTTTGATAATGGTGAATTTTTCTAATTCAGAGCGTCTCGACAACTCACGATGGTGGCCGTGATAAGACTGAACGAATACTGCAAGCTGAGGAACAAATTTTGGAACGCGTCGAAGAAGAGCCCGACATCACTTAGTTGCTGGAAATCAACAAGGAAAATTCTGTCGAAATAATCTTTAACCAATTTTTTTTTATATACAATGAGTTAAAGACATAATTACACTGGAGGATCTTGCGTCTTGTCTCATCAAATTACATATTATTATTATTATTATTGTTGGAATCACGCTGTATATTTTCCAAAATGGCGGCCTTCACACCTAAACACCTACGAAACCGCAACTCCGCCACCGGCCGTCTTTGTAGTCCTCCGCGGCCGAATCCCAACCGGGACCACCAACACGTAGCCCCTCGACCAAAAATTTCATTATCGCAGTAACCCTTGCAAACAAACGCGCCAGCCAGCGAAACAAAGGCCCGCAGCCGACTACGCCGCATCGTGATTCCGTTCCATTTCCGAGCCGTAGCCGAGCGCCTCACGTGACTTCAATATAAATAACTTTCTAAATAACTTGTACAGTTTCGCACGTCACGCGTCTACGTTATTACGCTCGGCTCCGACTCACGGCTTGCTTGATCTTGCCTTGCATCTATCGCGTCGAAGTGCCCTTTTCCCCCCTCCCTGCGCGGCCTGGGTGGGCCGACATTAGCGTAGACGATGGGGGAGATCGGGGTTCGGGAGAGCTAATTCCGGGAGAATGACGTTTCTGGAAACGGAAACAAATGGACGTGTTCGCTTTGCTGACGAGGAGCGAAAACTTGTTTACGTTATCAGAGGCGGCTCAAGGTCGTTGGGTTTGAACGTGGCGCGGTGCTGGAATTCGAAGCGGGTTGATGACGAAAAGGGGCTGCGATTGGTGATTGGCGGCCACGTGACGAGTCGAAATGCGCGAAAATGTTAAAATCTTGTAGTGTTTAATTAGGTCATTAAGTTAAGTACTGAGTAAACCGATCACGGGATTAAAGTCAACCAACCAAATTGTGCGATTTGGGGGTTAATTGCAGATTAGATTTTAATCTAAATTAAATATTTGAGTTAATAGTTAAACCGGCACTGTACCGTATAATTATAATTAACGGGGTAGAAAGACACTCAGAATACTGCTGGGAAATTTAATTCATGTCTACAAAACTTTATATTGTTTTAATCTATTATTAATATTATTATTCTCAGCATGTTAAAAACCTGTTTCTAATTAAAAAAAAAAGGAAATTTGTCAATTTTTTTCTAAGTTCAAGTTCTTTTGATGCAATTTTTATATTTTACAAAACATATGTGTTTACAGGTTTATGTTAAGTATTTATTAAAAAAGGAGAAGAGAAAATTGATACAAAGACTATTTGATTAATGTATGTAAAAAGGTGCTATAATAAAGAAATGTCAACTCCACCATATTTAAAGATGGAGAAATTTTATATATTATCCATTCACGATCTCTATATAGTAAAGTAAGCTTTGATATTTTTTCTTTAGTCTGTCAGTAGTCTGATTGACATTTACTTTGAGCTGGATTGCCACTTTTCTATTTCATCTATTAGATCAGAATTATTAGACGCAATTTTTTAATCAAGCAAATAAATGTTTTCATTTTATCAACATAGATAATTTGTCATTGTGACAGATTCACAGATCATTGCGACATTATTTAAAAAGAAAATGCCTAAAATAGTTTTACTGCAACAAAAAATTGCAATAAAAAGATGTTTTTTGCAGTTCCCAAAAGACAGGCCCGATCTTTCTTTCGAAGAAGTAACTATGAGGGTCTCGAACATATTTTCTGTAATGTAAAAATACGCTGCAAAATATTTTTTAATTTTTTTTCTCATAGGTGGGAACATCAACTGAGGCGAAAATTTTATCAACAGGGGACCAAAATTTAAAAACATCACTATCTGGCAAGCGAAAACAAACGGATTTTGGCAACTTAATGAATAAAACGAATATTTCACTGTAGATACTCTTTTGGCATATTCTAGGGAACAGTTGGAATTTAAAGGGGGGCGACCCACATTATACAAAATTCTTAAGTCAATGGGTTAGAAACACAGGGAAGTAAATGGTCGCAAAATTCTATGTGAACAAGAACATGTGGTTGCAGCCAAAATTACTTTTTTGAGAACATATTTACAGTTTCTAAATTCTTGTGAAAATTTGACTTTCATGTATTTGGATGGAACATGGATCTATCAAAATGGTTCGTCCATTCGTCGCTGGGTGCACGTTACTGATCTAAAGAGCAATCCCACCAAAATTAAAAGTGAAGGATCAAGGTTTACTATTCTCCAGGCGGATTGTTCAACGGGGTTCTTGGATGGTTGTAACAATTTTTTACATTCAAGAAATAACGATAGAGACTATCATAAAACGATGGACGGGACAATTTTTCAAAATGGGTGGTTAATCAGCTCATTCCTGCTTTGGCAAAGTTGAACCAAAAATGTGTGGTGGTTTTAGACAATGCACCGTATCATTCGGTTCAGTTGGGTAAACCACCCACTTTTTCTAGTAAAAAATGTGAAATGCAGGAATGGCTCTTTAAACATAGTGTTGAATTTGACTAAAAGTTTTCGAAGAAACAGTTGTGGGATTTAATTAAACCCTTCAGAAACAATAGAAAAAAAAGATATTTGGTAGACGAGACATTAAGAGAAAGTGGGCATGAAGTTCTTAGATTACCTCCGTACCATTGTCAATATAATCCAATTGAAATGGCGTGGGGATTTTGTAAGAACTATTACAACAAGCATATAAATTCTCAACCTTCATTAAAAAATAGGGTGGAGAATTTATGGCTTGAGGCGCTTTCTAAATGTACTCCAAGCATGTGGCAAAATTTTTGTAAACATTGTGAAAAGCTTATTTTGGCAGATTGGGAAAAAATATGGGAAATCTTTCGTACGAATCTATACCTCCTTTCATTATTTCGCTAGGTGAATCTGATTCAGAATCTGATTTGAAAATGACGGTGATGATACAGATTTTCATAGGGAAATAATAGAAATGGAGTGAATTGTAGCCTGTCGGGGGGTGATATTTTTACCCATCTTTCGTTCTAAATTTACCAAGGTAGTATGTGAAACACTACCTGACGTACAACAAAATAAGTATAATTTTAGTTAGATCAGCCATATTGTTACTTTGCACCAAATTTTAAGCATTTTCATTTTTTTTTGTAACTCTTCATGGACCTGGAGAAGGCGTATAGGGTAAATGTGTACAAGAGTACGCACTTAGTGTAAAACTGTCAACAACTTTTTAATTTTTTTGGATAGACAAATTTTATGATATGGGTTCGTTATATACATGTTTAGAGATCAGATATATTTAATTGTACGCCCCAACACCACTATATTTTAAGAGTAATTTCAATTTTTGTCAAGATGTGTAAATGCGCACTCTTAGACAGTTCATTGCACAAGAGTGCGCATTTGAACGCTTATGAGTACGCATTACATTTTATGAAAAAATATTTGTTTCTAAGGTGAAAATAAATGGGAATAAGTGACTACAGACTACACATAAAACGGGAGACCTATTTCTTCGTACTCTAGGGGTCTTGAAAAGACGAGAAAACGTAAAAATAGAGAGTCGGTCGACGGACTCGATTACAACACGCTCAGGAAGTAAAAATAAAAAAAAAATCACCATAACCACCACCCCACAACTTGAGAAGCAGTACAAAGTAGTAGAGTTAAATAATTCATTACCGTATGATATGTATCTCCAAGACTATTAGACTACATATTGCAAGCAATGCGCACGCTTATACAATACCTCGCTGCGCACTCTTGTACATTTGTACATAAGCTAATGTTTTCAAAGTTAAAAGCTTTTGATGGACAGAAAGTGTAAAACTGTTAGTGTATAACGACACTTTAAAAGTTACAACTAATGAAAATTATTACTGTAAAATAAAAGAAGTGGTACGTACCTTACAAAAAACTAAAACTATGAGCGGTAAAAATTACATCCACACAACGTGTGAACATAAAATCGTCAGTACGACCAAACTATAAACTATATTCAGGTCACTTTTACACCTTTATCTCAGGTTTAACATTAAATTCTGAATGGTATAACTTCATCTTACCCAGATGGCACTAATAAGCAGAAATCATCAGTGCGTACTCTTATACATATGCGCACTCTTGTACACATTTACCCTAGTAACGTTCTTATTAATAAGCGCTTGGAAGTACTTAGTAAATGCAAATCAAGAGCAGTTACGTAAGCATTAGTAATAGCTATATAGATATACTATCCTCAAACATATTTGGCGTTTATGGCTTCACACCAATTTGACTCCCGTTATAATTCAATAGGCCGTCACAACCGGATGTCTTAAACCCGGTCACCGATACCTACCTGAAAAGACCTTTTCGACGTGCCAGGGACGGTCGAGACCCGAAGGACCGGACTCAGAGTAATTTTGTTTGTTAAAATTTTCAAATTTCAAAATTTCCTTACAGAACATGATTTATACTTTGAAGAAAATTACACAAAGACACAATTATTAGAAGTGTCACACAGTCGAAAATTTGAGAAACAATATAAAATAGATGCTATGGCGCGAGATCGTGGATTTAGGGTGATTAGACTTCCGCCGTACCATTGTATATTTAACCCCATCGAACTAATCTGGTCGCAAATGAAAAATAATATAAGAAGGAATAATACGGCACCAAAATTTAGTAGTGCAACAATTGACATAATTAGGGAAGAAGCTTCCAAAATAACTGCCGAAATGTGGGCCAATTGTGTACGACATTCCACAAAAGAAGAAGACCAGTACAGGGCACGGTTGATAACACCGTTAATTATTAATTTAGAAGAGTCGAGTGATGATGACAGTGACTATTTCGATCAATAAATAAGCAGTAGTACTTAATAAGTAAATAGTTGTGCTGTAATAAAAAATGATTGAGTACAAAGTTACTTTGTTTTTACTTAAAATATAAAACTCGAAAGGCGCAGTTGTCGGTAAATGCAAAACTCAGTCCTGCCCTGTGCTTTTACCAGAAAAGGTCTTTTCAGGTAGGTATCGGTGAGCGGGTTTAAGACATCCGGTTGTGACGGCCTATTGAATTATAATGGGAGTCAAATTGGTGTGAAGTCATAAACGCCAAATATGTTTGAGGATAGTATAAATCATTCAATTTAAGGCCGGAAAAATGTTTCAAAAGAGCTAAACCCATCAAAGCACTAGAGCAAAGTTGTTGTCTTTTACCAACCCTTTTAGTAATCTTAGAAAAGTGAAAAAAGAAGTTGGAAGATATGGAAATAGGCTGTTCACAAAGGTCGAAATTTCCATTTCTAAGAAGAGTGGGCGAGCAGAACGAACTGATGATTGAGAATTAAAGATGAGATGCTAAATGTGGCATGCGACAATAGTCGTATGTAGAACCCCCATTCAT